ACTTTTAGATTTTAATTTATTCACATTTTTCACATCACTACACTTTATGGCTTCGTCACCTTCCAAGTGTCGGCCAACACATCATGATTTAGGTGTCTAGGTAGACACTCCGGGTTGGGGTGTGTCAGTTGACACCTAGCCCCCAATGTTTTATTTATTTATTTTTTATTTTTTATAGAAAAAATAATAATTACCAAACGGTCCTTTAAAGTGGAAAAATCATTACATTAACATAAAACAAAATCATAAGACTCTCTTTGGATAAAGAGAAAACTGGTTCATGAGCCTTAAATATGTGCGAGAATTAGTTTATGAACTTTTAACAAAGTGGACAATAGCCCTTTTCAGTAACAGAGTTATAATTTTCGTCCAAAATAAAAGTTTAAGAGAACGAATAAAAGAACAAAAGCTCTCATTGTAACAAGTTCAATGATCAATTCTCACCACTTTTTAATGCAAAAATCAAAGCTCTAATTCGACTACAAATTCAAGAACTAATGCTCTATTATTTTTTTTTGGAAGCATTGACGTCAATTCCTTTTTTTATTTGAAGAAATATGGATGCCACATCTTTTCTGTTGAATAGCAACGGCTTCTTTCCTAGTCATTGTGGAAGAATATATCCACATCATTTGAGTTCAAAGGGTCGACAGATGCATGCATTTTGATTAGGAGAGGTGTCATTAATTGTTGAGGTAGTATATGCCCTCTGCTTAGTTTTAGAGTAAATTGTAGTAATGATCCTTTAACTTTAACTCAATTGAAGTAATGGTCATTGAACTAAAAATCCATTACTATTGATTGGTCTCTCAACTCATCAAAATGTGCAGTTATGGTCCCTTAACTAAAAATTCATTACCATTGGTCCTTCAACTTTAATCCAACTGGAAAAATGGTCCCTCAACTTTAACCTTTGGAGTAATAGTCTTTCAACTTTAACCCAATTGTGGCAATGGTCCTTCCAACATAACTCATTTTGATAAAATTCTGACGAAGTTGACGAAAATAACCATAACTACACGTTTTGATAAGTTGAGGGACCCCAATTGTAGTAAGGATCCTTCAAACATAACTTATTTTGAGACAATTCTAACAAAGTTAGCCAAAATGACCATAACTACACATTTTGATGAGTTGAGGGACCAATGGTAATGAATTTTTAGTTGAGTGACCATTGCTCCAATTTGATTAAAGTTGAGGGACTGTTGCTACAATTTACTCTTAGTTTTATTAGGCAACAAACTCCCACCTTGGTTTCCTAAGTGAAACCAAGGGCTGGTTTGGTATTGCAATACTTTGAAAAAAAAACTATTTCTGCTGTGTTGTGAGAATAAGCTCATTTTTGCTGCTTCACGTTTTCAATTTTTTTTTCACCAAAAACTGTGAAAATAAATTGTTTTTAAGTGTTTACCAAACATCTTCTTGAGCTCAGCTTTTTTTTATACCCACTTTTTATAAAAGCACCTCAATACCAAATCAGTACCAAGTGTAATGTGAAAAATCTAAAAGTTATACAAGTCAGATAGGGTTTCTCAAACTATTGGGGGTACATTCCAGGGGTAAATTTGAAATTTTACTAAACTACCGTTTAACCAATTTGGAAAAGGATCTTTGCCAAATTCCTTTCCTAGGGATCCGGTGATCTCGTGATCTCACTCATTCATCGTACATTGTGCAATAAAAAAATCATTTCAAAATTTAAAATTAAATTTGAATAGTACCTAATGAAAATTGACCAAACGATATATGATGAACGGATGAGATCACGGGATCCCTAGGATCCTTAGGAAAATGATCCAGTGAGGAACCGGTTCCTTTTCCAACCAATTTAATCTTCTTACAACTAACTCATCCAATACTATTTTGACAAGTGTCATATGGCTATTAATCATCCTTAATTCATTATAACAAAATACAACTGTGTACCTCCATCCATAATCCTTAACCACCCAACCAACACAACACAACCAACCTTCCTCCCACTGAATTACAATATGAATATCGATGTTTCTGTCCCGGGTTGGCGTATTAAACAAATTAGATGATCAAATGAGAAACAATGGTTGGAGCACATATTTCGTTGCATTTTCGGTGTTCATGGTGGCGGCAAGAAAGGAGGGTTGAACTATTTGGTTTGGCGGCTAGGGTTTAAGCGATCGTGGGTTTTGGCTAGGTGTAGAGAGAATGATGGGTGGAGAAAGAAAGTGCGGGTGAAGCTAGCGGTGAGGGCATGAAATGAACTTCGATGACGAAGACGCTCTGATTGCAAAGCCATGGATTGATTGCTAGGAGAAAAGCGGCATTGAGGATGATCGAAAGAGAGCGTGGAGTGCCCCATTTTCTTATGATTAATACGCAGATAATTAACTAATTATTGGCTATTTTATGTTAAGTTACTAATCTCTACTTCTTCTTTTTTTTTAAAATCAACTTCCATTAAATTATTTGATGATTTTTTTTTTTTTTTTTTTAGGAGAAACGGTAGTGATTTTATTCAAAGTTAACAAGAAAGCAAACAATCTTGATGGAGGACATTCGACAATAAATTTGGAGGTTCCTCAAACCAACAAAAATTGAAATCAGAAGACAAGGCCAACTTAGCCATACAGTGTGCCGCAACATTTGCAGATTGACTAACATGACATACTTTTGAATCATCAAAGCTTCTCAGACTTACTCTAATGTCTTCCACCAACAGATCAGCAAACGAGGAGCCCTCTTTCAAGCTACCAATATCCTGCACTACCTGCACGACATCACTTTTTAGAATAAAATGTTGCAGATGCTGTTATGTAGCCCATAAATTCCCATCTCGAGCAGCCATGAGTTCAACCATTTTGGGGTTAGACACATGTATTATTTTTCGAACGAAACCTCTAGCATAATTACTGACTTTATAGTGAAAAACCACACCGACTATCCCCCCGTATTCAAAGTAGAATAGAAGGAACCATCAACATTAATTTTAATCCACCTGGGTAGAGGTGGGCACCAGTAGGACGGCGAGGTCAACGGTTTAGAATGACTAGCAGGATTGGCTTTGGTGAATTCAATCAAGAGAAGATTAGCTTGGTAACTCACTAAGGTAGGGTTCTTAAGTTTGTCATCCCACAATAAAGCATTTTTGGCCTACCAAATTAAGTGAATAAGCACCAAAAACAGGTTGAGCTGACTAGCATTAAATGAGGTTGCACATTGGGAGAACTAATCGTTGAACTGGGTGAGGCCACCAGGGGCTGCAACAGGGTTCATGTTGGCAGCGAGATAGACTGAGTGGGCAAATGGACAAGAACTAAATACATGTAGTGCCGACTCCGGAGAGGAACTACAAAAGACAAAAGTGTTGTCCATCGCCACCCTTTTGGTCAATAACGCCAAGCAAGTAGGGAGAATATCACGACAACCACATTCATTTTGGTCACTTAATACTGTCACAACTGTTTTATATGAAAGTTTACCAAATACTCACACATTGCTATTTTGCTATAAGAACTTTTACAGTTAAAGTTTACTAAACACTTTACTGTTTTATTTTACAACCACTTATTCTCACAGAAAAACATGAGCATTTTTTTTTAAAGCACAACAATACCATACTAAAACCTTTACTCTCATGTAACCCAACATGTCACATGACGAGCTTTTATTGAATTAATGATTTACTTTTCAAACACGTGGCTGACATCTATTAGATGGGTGACGTCATTTGGACTTTTAAGTTCCTTAGAAGGAAAACTAATGAAAAGGGTTTCAAATCTTTACATTTTAATTAAAAACCACTAACTAACTTTATTTAATTATAAGGACAAAAAGATAAAAATAAAAATAAAAAAAATAAAAAAAACCCTAACAAACCCAACTTGCGCTGGGGCAGCGTACCCCCCTCCCCAACCCCAAAACTTCAAACACTCCATTTTTTTCTCCCACCTTTTTGTCCCATCGTTAGTTACATTAATAGTTTTTTTCTTAGAATATGAAAAATACTTCGAATTGAATTACATTCTTCTGTTTTATTTTTGTGGTTTTGTTTTCCAATAGTAGTCATGATGATGAGAAACTTTTCAATGTGCCCAGAATACTGGGTGATACACTCTATACAAGTTGTGAGATTCTTGTATTAAAAAATAAAATTTTCCATCACTTATAAAATAATACATGGTATACCATTTATGTTACAGGTACAAGGAAAAATTTCTCCAATATGACATCCAAGCTCAAGAAATTGGATGGAGAGCTACATTTATTATTGTAGGTATATAAAAAAAGTGAGGAAATTTTAATTTGGTAATTGAAACAGCTTTTTAAATATAATTAATGAGAAAATAATCTTCTCAATGTTTTGATCTAAAGAGTCACTTCTGGGTTCATCGTTTTTGGCGCAATGGGTGCTTTTACAAGACTAAAAAGGATCTAAGTTTCAAACCTTATGAAACTGAACCAAGAATTGAACACTATTCATGAAACTAAACCAATAAGTAGATACTATTCATGAAACTAAACCAATAGTGTCATAAGTAGACACTATTCATGAAACAGGACCAATAAGTAGACACTATTTATGAAACAAAAACAAGAATTAGGCATTATTTCCAAAACTAAACCAATAGGTGGAAACTATTTATGAAACTGGACTATACATTATTTATGAAACTGAAGTAAGAACTAGACAATATTTATGAAACATGACCAAGAACTAGACACTATTTATGAAAGTGGTCTAATAACTAGACACTATTTATAAAACCGGACCAAGAAAGAGACACTATTAATGAAACTGTACCAACTACAATACATTATTTATGAAATTGGATCTACTAACTAGGCATTATTTATGAAACATGATAAAAAACTAGACACTATTTAAGAAATTGGACCAATAAACAGTATAGTACCGTTCAGTTTCATAAATAGGCGCGCATATCAAGGCTTTTTTTTTTTAATTTTAATTGTGTCATTTTCATTAAAAATTAAGTATTTATTTTTTTCTATTTATTAAAATTTAAGGTTTTTCATTATTTAGTAACGCCCACGCTGAAAGAGAAAAGAAGAAAAGAAAAGAAAATTACCCAAGGCCCATCTAGCTCTGTGTGCGTCTCTCTCTCTCTGCTCGGTAGCTCGCTTCCTCCCACTACTTCCTCGCATCTCCAGCACACTGAGAGACGGGTAAATAAACCTCCATCTCCATCTCCCTTTATCATTTCTCTGGTTTTTGGTATAAATTCGCATGTGGGTTTTGCTATTTCTGAGGTTTTCTTTTGATTTCGAATGCATGTGGATTTTCCACCATTGTTAATTTCTGTATTTTGGTTCGCAATTTTCATTTGTGGTTGACCTGCAACTACCTCCACCATCAAACCACAACAAACACCACCATCAGACCCTACCCCCACCACCGCTAGACCTCCACTCGAACAACCATCAACACCCAGTTCGAACCCAATCGAACCGCCAACACAAACCCCACATATACCCAATTAAACAACCATCGCCGCCTATGAGATTTTTCATAAGTCCCTTGCTTTTCTATGAGATTTTTCGAGTTTCCTTTGTAAGATGAAGTTCTTTGATAATTCTGTGTTAACTGTAATCCCTTTCGGTTCAAGCATTGTGCCTCTGTGTATAAATTTTGAAATGCAATCCGAGTTGTTTGGTGTGCTTAAGTAATCGTTCCAGCTTTGACTAGATGTCGATAAGTGCATCATAAGCAAATTAAAGGAGCATGAATGTCACATGTTATTGATTTGTTCAAGAATGGTGAATGTAAATGAATTGAAGGATGATAGTTGTTATTTCTCGAGGAATCTGTGTGCTTTTTTAATCTGCTTCTGTCACATTGATTCGTAGTGTGCTCTTCTTATTCTTCCGTGTCTATCGAAAGGAAGGTTATTGGGTACTTCCTTAAGTTGCCTTATATTCTTTTGTAGCTCATATCAGAGAAAATACCCAATTGTTATCATCCCTCTAGTCACAGAACACAGTTGAAGATGGCAAAGCGTCTAATTGCAACCCTCAATCGTGGCCTAGTTGGCAAACTCTTCTCCGAGTCCTCTACCAAGGTAACATTACCCTGTTACTTGCGTATATGTTTATGCATTCAATACCATTGTGCAGCCCTAACAGTGGTATGTGATGGCTTGTTGGTGTTGTTTGGTTTGGACCATTTGGTATAGCTGAACTCCGGAAAGCCAGTGGTTGTGGGAACGTGTGGACTGGACAAAGCAGGCTATAGTACCCAAGCCAAGCAAGAGTATGTTTCTTTTACGGTGCTGCTCTTTTTTGCCATGTCCATTTTGTCACCATGGCTTAATGTTTCAATTTTTGTGTCTTTTGTGGATGCTATGTGGTCACTACGGTTGTGTTTGCGTGTCTGCTTTTACATTTTTAGTTGGAATTTTTCTCATTTTCTGATGTAAGGAATTTGTAATTTTGATGGTTTGGCTTTTGAGCAGATCTCATTTTTACGATGGCGCTTTTGTGGATGCATTCCTGATGAAAATGAAGAACAATAAAGATCTTCTTAACAATAAGAAAATTTGGTCACGCAGATCTACCATTTTGCCAGAATTTGTGGGTACTACAGTCCGTATCTATAACGGAAAAAATCATATTCGCTGCAAGATCACTGAAGAGAAGGTTGGTCATAAATTTGGAGAGTTTGCAATGACACGGAAACGAAGAGTTCAGGCTAAAACTACTGCACCAGTAAGACCAGTGAAACCAGGAAAAAAGCAGGCAAAAAGTGAAGGTCTGAGAGCATGCATAATGTCTGGCGTATGGTGAAATTCATAACATATTGGATTCTGTCTCATTCAGGTGAATTCTGATACACGTGAATAATCTGATTGGATTTTGTCCAGCTGAGGATATGTGTTTGGTTTCGATTCTAGTCGGTTTTAATTAAGCGTTGAGAGTTTCTTAGTGGATGTTTGTGTTTGTTATCCTTTTGCTTAAGTGAAGCAACCTTCATGTTTTATCAGTTTGATGAATTTCTGATATGTCTACTGTGTCGGAAGAACTCTAAAGCAACCTTCTTGTTCAAAATATTATGCCCGTCGAAAAATGACCGAGCTTGAGCCTTGGTATGTTTGGCTCATAAAGCTCGTTAAACAACTTGTAGCTTTTTATGACATAACTCGAGTTTGGTTCGAACTTTGGCTCATTTGTTAAAGATTTCAGCTCATAAATTTGACTTTTCCTTAATAGAAATCCATCAATCATACTCTCTTTTTTAACCGAAGCAACAACAATAAACCATTAATGAGAGGAACATGATTACAAGAAAGGTGCTACCTGAGTACGTTTTCTCCAATAAACAAACATAATAAATCTCTTACATGACTGATTTATGGTGGCGTATTCGAAACCAAGGAACACAAAGAGCCGTCACTGAAAAGCTAGGCCACACAAACTGCTAGGCGGTACAAGCATACACAAAACACAATTAAGCCGAGAAGGAAACCACCATTAGCTCATCTCCACAACAACAAAACAGGGCACGCTCATCCCGATCATCTGCAATCTCACCAGATCCGCTGCGTCCACTACCCAACGGAGGTGTATCTTGTTACCAGTCTAGCCATGGAAGGCGAATCGGCCACATCTCCTGCTATCTTGAGGCCCACGACAATGAAATGTCAAAGCTCCACAATCCGGGCCTTTTAATATCTAATACTCCAGTGATCGAATGGCCTAGGATTTTTCAGAAATTTTAAATTTTAAAAGTAGAGAAAATAAAATGTATTTTAAAAATTAGAAAGAAAAAAAAAAAAGGAAAAACCCACAAAAATTCAGGAAAACAATATTTTTAAAATACAAAATAATTATGATTTTTTTACTTTTTTTATAACAACCCATCTGTTGTAAGCATAATTTACTGAACAATTATGGAGGCCATTGAGAGAGAGAAAGGTGTGGCAATAGTAGAGAGAAGAGAGAGATGTGTAATTGTGAGGTGTGTTTGATTCACCTCATTGTGCCTTTATTTATAGTAGTGGAAAGGGAAAAACCTTTCCTTTTAGGATTACAACATTTAATAGGTAATCTACTCCTAATAGGAATATAAGATACATTCTCATATCTACTAGGATTTACACAATCACATTCCTATTCTAAATATGACTGCAACACTCCCCCTTGAGTGTGTAAATACTAAACAAACCATTGCATCAGATTCTTCAGCAGATAAGGTAGAATAGTTGATGAAGTCATCGGCACAATGGATGATCGTGAGTCTCAAATTTACTTTGAAGTATGCATTTGTAAAAACTCACAAAAACCTTGCTACAGTAAAACCCAAGGAATGAGGAAAACCCATAGACTAAGGAGAAAAGTAAGAAAAATATGCATAATGTCTAAAACGATCGTCAAACTGGACGAAGGTAGTGAGCTCAACAGAGTATGATCATCCCGGGATGGGTACCTCATTAAAACCTAGTTAGGTAGCAAAAACCCAGTGGAAAAAATGCTCCTAATTGTAGGGAAAAAGAGTACATTAAGATCATGTGAGTATGCTTCAAGATACTCCTCCTGAGTTAGACATAACTTCTAAATAAGAGAACTACAAGCAATTCAACTCAGATAATTTATGCATACCGATTCCTTGGATGAGCTTCTGAAATGTAGACTTAGGCAATGACTTGGTGAAGAGATCGGCCAAGTTGTCTTAGGAACGGATTGCATGACTTCAATCTCCTGATGCTTTGCTGATGTAGATGTAGGTGCAATATGTCTTGGCGTTGACTTCGTTGATGTATCATGGCTTGGTCGGGTTGATACATGCTGCATAATCTTCATGGATCGTTGTCGGGACTCAATGATGGATGAAAACACAACAAGTACTTCGAAATTCTCAACAAGAACTCCTAACCATGTCTCACTTGTGGTGTAGTGAAGTGAGGTGAGTCTTGGAACGATTCGAAGATTTCGCAACTAAGGTCATATCGTGGACCTCTAAGATATTGCGATATCCCTAACAGGTAAAGACATAACCATTTAGGGATTTTGCCTTGTTTGGGTTTGATAAGTAACCAGCGTTAGCATAACAAACAAGGTAAGCATCTTTCTGAGGATCAGGGGGGTTGGATCCGCTCGAGATGCATTGGGATTTGCCCATGTAGTACCTTTAGGGTACGTCTATAATACCAATTCAGTGGATGCGTGTAAGCACGTTACTGCATCTTTACCAAGATCAACAGCGAAAAAGATGTCCTGTCTAAATACAATGAGCTAAGTACAACGTAGCACAACGTTGAACTTTAGATATGGAATTTCGGATTCCATAACCTGTTCAAGGGTCTTATTTGCATATAACGTATGGACGATCAAAGGTATACTCAAAGGTAACACATTCAAGGTATGGTTCGACTTGTAGACCAAACTACCGTCAGAACAATGCTTAAACTTCAGGTCAAAGCATAGACGAGTTTTCCTAAGATCCTTCATCTCAAATTCCATCTTCAAGTGCGAGGCAGTTTTCTCAAGCTCTTTCGGAGTCTTAGTAAGATTCGTGTCAACAACATAAACTGTAACTTTAGGAATTTGGAATAAGACTTCATAGTTGAACACGCAAGGGCATAATTCATCCTTGATTGATCAAATAAAATAATCACGTAGACGGGTATACCACATCCGTCAGATTTTTCAATCCATAAGTGAACACCTCAAAATGAGTTACTAGGGTGTTCCGTGGTTTTGGAACTATTTGAACTAGTCCATGTAATTCTTCAGGAACTCACATGTAAATCTCCGTATCTATAGCCCCATGGAGAAAACATTAACTACATTTCATAATGTTGCCATTAATCACATGACGTTTGAGAGAAACCTTGCACCGTAAAGCGTGCCTTATATCGCACTATTTCATTCATCTCATAACGCTTCCTTTCCTACTTGTAACACAGCATGGTTACCTTGGGTTGTGTAGGAATGGTAGGTGCCAATACACACTTTGGTAAGGAATTTGACCTGGATTGTAACTTTAGTTGTCCAATCAGTTATACGTTATCACTTAATCAACGAACACGGTTCAATATCGTCGCTTTTCATTTATGTCGGTAACTACCATATAAGTGAAAACATCATCGATGATAATCTCATTTCAATTCCATTTAGCTCATCCAAACTAGTATACTGGACCAAGAACTTTAAGTCTCGGGAGAAATCTGGATTAATCTCATAAGATGGAAATAATTTAAGACAAGGATCAAGTTCAAATTCATTGTTGTGTCGTGTCTTCCTTTTCTAGGGAAGTGAATCTTACGAACCTAGTGATTTGTTGTGCTCTAGGTCAAGACAAATTGATTGGCTATCCATCGGTGTACCGGATCGTCCAATAGGGGTGGCACACCATCCAGGGATGTTGACTTGACGTCCGTTAAGTATGTCTATCCTTGCAGGCATGTTTGCAGCTGGTATATGATCTCGTCACTTTAACTAGATCAGAGGAAGCGTCTGGAGCAACATTTTGAAATAGAGAATTCATCGCACTTACTTATCATACATGTGCGGTACCGAGATCGAGATGAGACATAGTGGGTAACTTCCACGCAAATTCGCGCCATTCTACAGGAATATTGTTGTTCTTATCTCCCCCTAACGGCGGGAAGACTGTCTCATTAAAGTGACAACCCGCAAATGAGCGATAAAAAGATCGCATGCAAGGGCACTAAGAGAGCTAGTATGAAGGAGAATCATAATCAATAAAAATACACATCCTTCTTTGAGGACCCCTGGTGGTACGTTGCGGCTTGCGCAACTTGGCACATGAAATGCACACCCAAATGCGTAAATACGAAAATCGTCAAGTTCATACCCAGTAACCAGCTGTAAGGTCATATAGGTTAGGTGGCAATGGGCCTCAAGGTAGACCAACATAACTGCTTACAAAGATTGCATAGCCCTAGGCAGAAATCGAAAACTTGGTATGTTCACCAAAATTCGGGCGATCATTTAAATTGCACTTTATGATCACTAGGCATGGCTCTTTGGGGTGAGCATGGGAATTCAATGTTCAATTATAAACCCAAAATACATGCAATACTTTATCAAAAACCGTCAATATAAACTCTCCGGCATTATCCAGCCTCCCGAACCTTAAGGGATAAGGAGGGTGGTGAACCTTTAATCGCCCATGAGGTTTAGCAGCAATGTATATGGACAAACATGTGACCAGTTTGTCGATTCATCAACCAAAACCATAAGCATTTATATGGTCCGCATTTTGGTTAGATTAGTCCATATATATTCCCTTGAATCCACTGTGAAAAGAGAGTCGTGTCGTATCTTTGCGAGGAATGATATAGAAAATCAATTTCCTTAATGAGCATACTTGGAAAAGTGTGCTTGTAGGCACAATATCCTTACTTCAGATAAAGAGATGCATTGTACCATCACTGTTCTACCTAAGTGTCCTAAAAGGTTGTGCCAAAACAAGTAAACTGCTCAATTACCAAGCTCCAGGGCGACCACATGTGGTGTATTCCCAGTTGGGGACAACCCATTGGCCCCAAATCAAAGCTTCAAGCTCATTTTTGGAGGTGGTGCAAAGATATTTCACTTTATTTTCTTCAGTGGTTTCATTTATGATCATTGTCATCTCAAATATCCTTAAAAACTCAACGTCAGGGAGAATTTAAGGTCCCTTAAATGGTAATTTAGTACCATTCATACAACGAGGAGCGTGCCAAATGCTCTTAATTAGGTTGGATAGACCTGAAGTTGTTGTTAGGGATGTGATTTAGGTGTAAAGTTCGTGTGCGTAGTACGCATTCATCCAAACAACTAACTTTCCCATATTCCTACCTAATCACGTGTTTAATTAAATTGGTCACATGTATTAAGAAACATGATTCAATTAACTCATATTCGAGGACAATATCAATAAAATTATCCATAAGTAAAACATACACCAAACTTGAATCCAAGAACATGGAAAAATGTTCACAAAGTAAACCAAAGTTACTAGGGTGGATTCGGCCAACAAGGCCATCCATGTCAA